CGGCGAAGGAGCGGCAGAGCGGGAAGCCTCGCCCCATCGCCCGGTCGGGGGCTTGAGCGGCCCCTAACCTGCACCCCCTAACCCTACCCTGTTCCTTGCAGGAACAGAGATCCTCCCAGCACCGGCAAACGTCCGGTTCCTTGCCAAGACCTTCCTCCACGTCCTGCACTGGGAGCCGGGAGCCGGGCTGGACCCCTCCGAGGAGCTCCTCTACGAGGTCCAGTACCAGCGGTAAGAGCCCAGGCGGGACATGCTGTGGATGACCGGGCTGGGAGCGGAGGGGGGGCTTCGCCAGAAGACCGGGGGAGGGGGGCTCGCTCCCTCACGCCGGTTCTTTCTTGCCCATTCCTTCCTTCCCTCCCTCCCTCCTGCAGGTATGGCAACGGTACGTGGACCTCTGCCCCGAACTGCACGCGGATCTCCGGGCCCCCCTGCGACCTCTCCTTGCAGACGAGTCAGCCCAAGGAGCACTACTTTGCCCGCGTCCGGGCCGTGGCCGGGGAAAGGGCTTCCAACTGGACCCTGACCCCCCGCTTCGTGCCACAGGAAGGTAGGCGCCGCCCGCCCGCCCGCCCCGAGAGAGCCGCGCGCGCGACCGGCAGCCGGGAGGGGTCCAGTGGCACTTTCTCGGCGGCCGGAGGAAGGGGCGCCTGCGGGGAGGACGGGCTTCGGGCAGCTCTGGCCAACCCGAGGCCGAGGCGTTTGGCTCACAGGCAGGCCGGGTGGCGTCCGAAGAGCTTCCCTTAATTCTGGGCGGTCTCCTTGTTTCGCCAGCAACTCTGCATGTGGCCAACCTGAGCCTCTCCGTCCGCGGCAACACCATCCGTGTCTCGGTCCAGCCTCCCAGCAGCCAGCGAGCCAACCTCTCCATCGAAGACCTCTACCCCCAGCGGTGGGAGTACCACGCCCATGTCCGGTTGCCCAACAATAGCCAGGTGAGCCCCCCCCCTTTTGCCCTGGCAAGAGACCGGGAGCCAGGAGGAAAGGAGGCCTTCAGGCTGGGCTGGGCAGAGGCATGGGGCAGCCAGCGTGGGATCCAGGGCGGTGCCATGGGGGAGCTGAGCACCAGAGGCCAAGGGCCCACAAACAGCAGTTGAGGACTGGGGGTCCGGTGCGGATCTGTTCCCGATTGCCAGACTCCCCTTCCTGGTTGTCTGCAGTTTCTCCACATTGGGACCAGCCTGGCGTTTGATCTCCCTCCACTACCGTGGGGCCAACGCTACTGTGTCTGGGTGAAACCCGAGGTTGCCTCCTGGCCCCTTCATACCAAGCCCACTGAAGAGCAGTGTGTCTCCATCCCTGATCTGCAAGAGGAGGAAGGTGAGTCTCCAGCCTGCGCCCCTGCACGGGGATTGTGAGGGGCCCAGCACCCCCACTTTCCAGGCCCCGCTTGTTGCCCTTCAAGACATGGCCCCTCTCCTCCAGGTAACAAGGGATCCCTGGATGCCAAGAGCAGAGGGTGGATGTGGGTGGTGGGGGAGAAGGGGGGAGGAGGAGGAGGAGGAGGAGGAGGGCCCCGTGGTGGGGTGGGGAGCCCCCTTTGAGCTGGCAGCAGAGCACTCCCGACCAATCTTGGCTCTGGAACTGGTGGCAAGCAGCTTGAAGATGCCTCTCTCACTGGCTCAGGGTGGCCATTTCAGCTGTGGTCACTCTCTTCTCTCTCCCCCCCCCCAAATACACTCAGGGACACTTGCCACCCTCACGCACATGTGCTTCTGAAGTCAGGAAGAGAGGTGGTGGTATCCTTATATTGAGTCAGGCTCTTTGTCTGTTGGGTACAGAAATTCCTTCATGGAATGTTTGGCTCTGGTTTGACCCACCTGCACACCTCCAGGTGACACAAGGACCTTGCCAGCTCTATGAGGGACTAGATCCGTGAACCAAGGAAGGAGGCATTATCTTTTCCCTGCCTCTAGAGTTCATTTACTGGGCAGGTCTGCTCCTTTTCTGACCTCTCCTCTGGAGGGGGGGGGGAAACATGCCTTGTTCCCCATCACAGGATCTATGAGTGGCTTCTCCCAGTGAATCACGCCCCCCCCTTCCCCACACCACTGGGGAGGGGGCTTCCTTTGCAGGGCATGCGGTTGCCACCCCCAGTTTGAGTCTCCTGGGCCTGGTTGCTCTTGGTGCCCTGGCATTTGGCATCCACTTGGCTTGGGCCTACGTGAAGAAGCCCGTGGAGCCTCCCGGGATGCTGGTAAGTGCTTCTACCGCGAGCCCTTTTCACATTCACCCCTGGGAGTCAGGGCAGCCCGAAGCTTAAAGCGTCCAGAAAGGGGGCCTTGGCACCCCCTGCCCTTTGTAAGGGGCAGCACTGAAGCAACCAGCCGATCGATGGCTCTGGAGTCTTTCTGTGCCTCGCTCGGGGGGCTGGTTCTCCTTTTGGCACTCATAAAAATTAGATGTTTATGATGTATATTCTTCAATTTGCTCCACCAGTAAAGTAGATCCGTAATTTCCCCATTTTCCAGATGGCAACTAAGGTTGAGAGACAGTAACCTGTGTGACCCCTTCCTTGTGGGGCCAGAGGTGTGGGTGGAAGGAGGGCAAGATCTCTTGAGGAAGCCTGGGGTTTTAGAAGGCCCATCTAGCCAGCACCCTGAGCCTGACCCTCTCTCTCTCTCTTCTTTGGGCTGCCAGACGTCTCTGCCGAACCGTCATTCCTGTGAGGGGCCCAAGGAGGAGAGCCTACCGAGGCTGCCAGGGTTAAAAGATGTTGTCCTAAAATTGGAGAGGGACCCCATCCAGCCCCTTTGCTTCCTGCGTCTGGAGGACCTCCAGCTCTACGCTGCAAGGGAGGACAGGCACAAGGACCTGGAGGCAGTACCTGCACCGCTGGGGAAAGGCAGCTGGCGGCCAGCCTGGGTGGCCGAAGGTCCCGCGCTCCAGAGGAGCATCCTAGACACCAGCAGTGGCAGCATTGACAGCGGCATCTGCCTGCAGGACCCTCCCGACCACCTTCGCCTTCTGGGCTCTGGGAAGCTGTCCTTGGAAAGCCACAAGGGGGAAAATAACTTACAGGGGGATGCGGGTGGCCTTTGGGTGGAGGAGCAACTCCTGCAGGTAGTTTCAAAAGCTGAGGAAAGGCTCCCTGCTGGAGACCCAGCCCAGACTTGGCTCTCCAGGTCCCAGAGCCAGTCGGGAGCTGCTCTGGAAGGGGACGACGGCTCTACCATTTCCTCCAGCCTAGAGGGAGCAGCCGGTTCTGAGCCGGGCATGGGGGTGAATGGCTATTTGAAGCAGGCCTCCCTGGATATCCCCTCCACCCACAGGACGTTGGCCTCAACTAGGGACTTGATTGACACAACAAACATGTGTCCTTCCTGGCCAGCCTGACCTCCTGCACTCTCCTGGGTTTGGGCTGTTTTTGGAAGGGGATTCAGCCAGCCCTCCTCTGTCTGCCTCCTCCCCCTTGCATGCCAGCACGCGGCTAAGCCCTGACCTCACCGCCCTCGTGTGAGCCTTTAGCGCTGGTTGGGGCAAGAGGACTGCCCCCTATCCCTGTCGAGAAAGCTTCAGGCCTGGGAGGGAGTGGCCTGCACAGGGGGCTGGTCACCAATAAAGTCAACCAGCACCCTGGCCTTATTCTGCCTCCAAAGAGGGGTCCTGATTATTCCCTATTTGTTTGTCTGGGGGTGGGCAAGGACAGGAAGGACGGACACGGCTGGCGTGTGATGTGCAATTTGGAGGGTCTTCACTCACTGTCCCTCTTCTGGGATGTTTACTGAAAATGAACGGATAGCTGTGAGTTTCCCAAATGTCTCAGTGCATGTTTGTACAAGTTGACTATTTATTTTATTTATTGGTAAAACTAAGAACTATGTTTGTCAGAGTAGTTAAGTGTATTTAATAAAATAATATTGTCAAAATTCTTGAAATTCTTAAGAATTTTGATATGACTTTGCCATGGGAATGGGAACTGAGAAGAAGGGTATAAAATATTTGTATATGAG